TCAAGAGGCCGTAAAACTATACTCTTGTCAAGGGGATCTCCAGGTACTATGGCCCAGTGATCAAACACTGAAAGGCAAAATGCTTGGCCCTGAGTATGGTACCGCAAATCTGTCTCAAAGCCAAATGACTCTATCACAGGTAAAAATGCCTGTAATCCAGAGGAAAACATATGATTGGAACAGAATCAAGCATATCTATATAGGTTTTACATATAAATATTTCCATGGGAGTTTGTGTTAAGAATTGCAGTATGCACTTCAACTAACAGAGATATCTGATCAGCTGACATATTTCTCCCATGATAAACTCACGAAACCATAAGAAATTAAATTAGAATCAACAGCCAACTATAGGACCAATCTTAGAAATGAAACCTTAACAATGTACGCTGGGGTCCCTGGCTGAGGAACATCAGCTGTAACATGTCCACGTCTGCGAGATAACACCGTGTAGATTGCAGAAACACAATCAATTGGCGTTTGTATCTGAAAGTTCACAGATCTAATGTGAATTAAAAGCATTTAAGCAAGTTTGCATCTACCAGAGAAACCTTCTAGAAGGATAGTGAATTATGGGTAATGTATAGTTTAAATGTCAATTTGATTAAATTTACTAATCATTCTGCTTTCTCTTTGAACATCATTCTATCACAACTGGAATAGCATGTACCTCCACATAATATACAGGTTCCATGAGCCGGGGGGTCGCCATAAGAAAAGCTGAATAGGCAACACGTCGGGCTGTGGGAATGATCTGACCCGACCCTCGATGCAAAGGCTCAGGTGCAATCCTTGCATCAACTATTTTGAACTTGACATTTCTAATGGGTTCATCGCAGAGAGGCCCTTCTCGTGCACCCCATTGAAATCTATCCAAAAGTTAAAACCCTCAATTCCAAGCAAATAAATTACAATCCAGTTTTTCTTTTTTTCAATACCTTGGAACAACAAAAGGACTATATTTTTGGAAGGAAGAAATAAGAACTTAGTTTACCCTTGAACAATAGAATCCTTGACAGCACCAAGCAAGTTTTTGTCGACTTCAGTAGGGAGGGTATCATCCAATAGAATGTTAGGCCCCTTAATGCACAAAAGTAAACCAACAAAAATGAAAATTAATTAGGAGCATCAACTGGTAGATTCATTTTCATATTATAACATCAGCAGGAGAACGATAAAGATAGCAGCAACCTATAGCTAAATAAAAAGCAAGAAAAGTGCACTTTGTGTTACCTGCTTATCAGGGCCAAATGCCCATATAGAACGTGCAGCAAGCAAATCCCAGTCATACTTTGTCTTAAAGAAGTCCCCAAGTTGCTTCCGGTTCCAATCACTGCTCACAACACCATTCTCAATGTCCTCAGCAAGTCCTCTTTCCAATGGTTCTGCAATCTTGAAAAGAAAATAAGCTACTTAGACAATCCTTTGCAAGGAGAGATGACTGAAAGTGTAAGGTTCCCCAAATTCATCTTTGCCTTAAACAAAATAAAGAAATAAAAAATAGAAAGAGAACCAAGGAAGCTTGCGTACCATAGTTATTTTATTTTTCTTGTTCGGTGTCTCAGCAAAACATTTCATTGATGAAGATTCCACCACTGTTTCACAGAATGAGACAACAGGATCTGCCACCTACAGCCGCAGTGAAGCATAAGATGGAAAGGCATATACATTAGCAGAAAGGACATCACTCAGATGTCCAGAATAAAAAATTAAGAAAAAGAAAAACCTAGAGAAAGAAAGATCACACAGCAAGAGAAGTATGACAAAACAGGTACCTTCACTTCCACTTCAGAATAGAGCTCTCTCAGGTCCTTCATGATTGAATCCAAGTACAACTCTCCAGTACCTAAAATAGTATGCTCCCCAGACTCCTCAACTTTGGTAATTGCAAGTGGATAGCTTTTGCTGATCTTCCTAAGACCCTCCACCATTTTAGGCAACTCACTAGGATTTAAAGGCTCAGTAGCTGTTTTCACTACTGGAAGAGTATTGAACTGTAGAGGACGGAATATGTACACATCTTCATCATAATCCACATTACAAAGAGTGGCAGTTTTCATTATGGATGCATCCACACCTTCAATCAGAACCCAAGAACCAGGTGGGGCACTACTTATAGGCAACCTATATCGAGCCTGATAAACCCATAATTTTGTTACTTCTTTTACAGTCATGTCCTCCTCATCATATGGTGAATAGCCTTCTCCTAGTACACGTACTGTTTGCCCTGTCTGAATTTTACCACTGTAGACCCTACCAAAAGCATCAAAGACACTACAATCCGACTTGGGATACAACTTGGTCACATTGACCATAAGTGGGCCAGAAGGATCACAATCTATCATGGCCTTGTAGATCGTCGAGTTTTTGGGTCCAGTATATATATGCTCAACTTTCCTATCTGCAGCATCTTTTGCAGAAGGTATGTGCTTCACCAGCATATCAGTGAAGCCTGATGCTGAACCAAAAACAGAACTGCATGCTAACCTTAGCAAAGGCCTCACATTCAATTTGTAAGCAGCATTGCTGAGGGTGACACCTAATTCTTCAAGAGTTGCCTCTACACTCTTCTTATGTTCACCAATCACTTGGCTATATATTTTGTAAAGAGGTTCAAGAACAAACTGGACAAATGATCTTTCTCCACCACCTGCAGGGGGTTTTCTTTTAAAACTTCTCGTGTCTGGATGGTAATACATATCCCCCCAAAGACGAGATGCAAATTGATCAACATCAAATGGAATGCCATGAAGTTTTAGATAAAGTTTAGCAAATGACTGCAAGGTGAAGGACCAGCCAGCGGTAGCACTTGCAAAACAAACATTTCCAATAGTTGGATCTATAATTGGCACATTTCCAGCAGTTGTTGATGAAGCAGATATTTGGTTGTTAATGACTTCCAGAGTATGCCTTAGTTTGTGGTAAGCATCTTTTGGAGGCAACTTAAGTTCAGTTATCAGCCTGTCAACCTTTAATAAATAAAGAAATTTGCATGGATCAGAGAAAGTTATTGCTTGATTAGTAATCAAACACCAGAATAAGACACAAAGCATAAGGGAGCATTTACCTTGTTAATTACAACCACAATTGGAAGACGTTCCTGGATTGCATGACGAATAGCTCTTTCTGTGTTCACCTGTCCAATATAAGAGAAGCAAATGAGATAGTAACAGACATCATGCCATGTCTAAAACATTCAACCAGATGAGATAGTAACAATATGATACCAAGGATCTTTGTCATGTATAAAACACTCCAATACAGATGAAAAAGTGACAGACAGCAGCACCATCATGTAGAAGTCCCAACTTTCAGGGAAATTTACAAGATACATTCAGAACTTGACAGAGTATATTGCATCAATAATAGAGTAGCATAATGGTACCAGAATTTATATCAACATTCATGAAAACATGTATCAACTAATCTCATTTAAAATAATATCCTTCAGATTTAACTGTAGCTAGACACCCCAAAGCAACCAAAGAACGAAGTAAAAACTAGTCTGCTTTAGCATAGCCAAACCATGTGAATCCCAAAATAGTTGCGTTTATTTCCATAAATCATATAGCCTGTAAACCCCAAAAAAAAATGCTTACCATCACTCCTTCAGCAGCATCAACAACCAGTACAGCACCATCAGCAAGCCTGAGAGCAGCAGTCATTTCGTCAGAAAAATTGACATGTCCAGGGGTGTCCATGATGTTACAAAGGTATGATTTTGAATTGCTGTCCTCAAGGACAAGTGACATTGGAATTGCCTTGATTGATATATTTCTCTCTTGCTCATCAATCCGTGTATCCGTATACTTCATGTGCTTCTCGTTGTTTACCTCAAAAGTGGATATATGGTGGGTTTGCTCCACCAACATATCCATGAATAGAGTCTTCCCATCCTGCAGATGACCCACAAGAGCAACATTCCGAACCAGAGAAGGATTTGACATGAGACCAATAAGAAACTGGGTTGACACGTAAGTTGATGAATCCTTCACCCCGACCTCAAACTTGATATTCCTAACAGGTTTTATTATCGGCTGTTCAAGGGGCTGCTCATCTTCGTCCATAACTAATGTTTCAACATCTTCACCATAAACCTCTTCTGCCGTTGGATAGTACTTTTTATCCTCGGCCAGAACAATCTGATTGTCCATATCAATATCATTAGAGGCAGTAATCCACATATTAGAAGCGCCAGGTTCTTCCTCACCATCAGAGATTGCTTCTTCTTCAGTAGGCTTGTCTGGAAGCTCCTCATCAACCTCAACATCACTCTCTTGGTCAGACTCAATTTCTGGTCCGATATAGTTTCCGAACTCATCGTATAAGCTATCATCCATCTTTTCTAAATCTGTATCAAGCATGGCAATTAGAACTCTGTTATCCAATTAAGTTAATGATATTGAAACAGAAAAAAGGACCAAAATTCAGCCGGAAATGAAGAGTACAAATCAATACATCTAACTATCTGACCCAAATTGCTCATCATTTTAATCATCAAAACTACACACAAAACCCCCATTTTCAGCTCCGAGGCTGTGAATTTGGCAGATTTGAACTGAAAAATGGAAATGCTATTAACTGAAAAGCAAAAATGTCAGTTAAGTATTTTCCTACATAAGTTTATATGCGTTCAAAACTCAACAGACACATCGACCACGCAAGCTTGTCCCGTTCCTCGTCTTCCGCCTTCACGCGTTCAGCCTCAGCCCGCTTGCCCTCCTCTCTGGTTCTTTTCTTTGTACAAACAGTATCTTCTCTCGCTTCTGGGCGTTTCTGTCTCTTCTTTGCGACTCTCTCTCTTCTGTAGGTCTTCCGTTCCTCTGCGTATCTCTTCGCGTTATCGCTTTATCTCCGCGTCCCGCTACGTATCTCCTCGTAGTGCTTCTCTGCTCCTTGGTTTCCCGTTTCACTAATGTCTCAGCTTCTTTCTTCAGTTTCAGAAAACACTAAAAGACCTCCCCCTTTCCCTGCGATTCTACTCAACTTCAGTCTTCCTTCATGCCAGAAGTAAACCCTAGAACAACCGGTAAAACGAGGCCATTTTGGTGCCAGCAAGGGCTGGGCTGGGCTGGGCTGAAATCGTGATAATTTTAATTATAAAACTTTTAATAATTAAAAACATATATGAAATATTATGTCATTAACGATTAATTGAATATATATATATATATATTTTTTAATCTACATCAAGATAATAATTATTTGAAAACTTTCTTAAATATTCTTTTAAGGCCCAATATAATCATAATCGAATCATAGAATTAATAATCACGATATAATATAAAGTTTAAGTTACTTATATTATTTTATATTTAACAATTACAGTCTAATTAATTTTTTTAAAAAATAATATGTTTTGTAAAGTTCACGTAATTATGTTGATTATATGTTTCAATAACCTACATGAATAAATTAGTTACAATATGTTTTATAAATTCCTTAAAAAAAATTTCTAGACGTTTGAAAACAATAAAAATTTGTGTTTAATGTTATGTCATATTATCTTCTAAACATTATTTTCATTTATAACATCCTACATTTTTATGTATATATATATTATATATATATATACAATGAATTAATACAATAGTGGAATACTCAATAATCTAATCCAACATATTTTACTATTAATAAGAGAAATAAAAATTTATAATTAATTAAATTTGAGTATAAACTCAAAATAAGTATCATTTCGATATGTTTTGTTATATTTAAATAATATTTTTATTTTTATTAATTAAAATTTAATATTATGTATTTATTATTTATTATTGATTATTATATTTAAATATTTTATAAAAAAAAAAATTAAAATAAGTAAATAAGGTAGATAACATGTAGAAAGTTTTACCCACACGAAGGATGGATTTTACTTACTTTAAATATGAGGTGGCTATGAATTTGTATTTTTATTAGTAATATATATATATACATATTTGATTCAAAAATTAGTCAAAACTGTATTTAGAAAAGATTTGATAATCATAGGTTGTGATCCGAAAAATAAGCATCTTTTTTATTTAGAAATAAAAAGGAACTGAAAATTTACTATTTTTATACCCGTTTGAATACAAATCGTTGTTGGTGTTAAAATTTCACAAGGGGATTCTTTTGGCTCCTGCCAATTGGGCAGAGATAATTTTTTTTTCTCTTTGTCCCTCCCCCGATAGCTTTTTCTCTTTTCCCTTTTTACCTTCATCAATTCATTTTCTCTTCATTCTTCCTCTGTGTGTGCCTGACCTTGTTTTACCAAATCAGATTCTTACTAATGGAGCATCACAACCTTCCTTCTTTTTATTCATCCAACATGTTGGACAATTTTGTTCAACGCTAAATGGAACTTGACATGACATCAGAATCAGTTTTATCTCATAACTTGGTTCTATCTAATATTTTTTTCAGTAGTTCATTTGTAATTGTATCTTCATTAGCTAGTAATCCGTTTTGAATAAGAGGTGTTAAAGAATACTCATTCGACAATTCTTCATAACATCATATATTTTGATCTGTCTGTTGTCATTCTTGGCTTCCCATTTTTTTTGTTGATATAAAATATGGAGAAGAGAGGGACAATATTAATGCAAAGGTACGAGCTCGGGAGAATGCTTGGTCAAGGAACATTTGCCAAGGTTTACCACGCTAGAAATCTAAAGTCGGGTCAAAACATAGCTATAAAGGTTATCGACAAAGAAAAAGTGTTGAAGGTAGGTTTGATTGATCAAATTAAGAGAGAAATTTCCGTTATGCGACTAGTTAGACACCCAAATATTGTGGAGTTGTACGAGGTTATGGCTAGCAAGAGTAAGATCTATTTTGCCATGGAGTTCGTGAAAGGCGGAGAGCTGTTCGCTAAGGTTGCCAAAGGGAAATTGAAGGAAGATGTTGCTAGAAGATACTTCCAACAATTGATTGGAGCCGTTGATTTTTGTCATAGTAGAGGCGTATATCATCGCGATCTCAAGCCTGAAAATCTATTGTTAGACGAGAATGGAAACCTCAAAGTGTCAGATTTCGGCCTGAGTGCATTTATCAGAGTCAAGAAAACAAGATGGTCTGCTTCATACAACTTGTGGAACTCCAGCTTATGTTGCACCAGAAGTTATAAACAAGAAAGGCTATGATGGATCCAAGGCTGACATATGGTCTTGTGGTGTTATTCTTTATGTTTTATTAGCTGGATTTCTTCCTTTCCATGATCCTAATCTTATGGAAATGTATCGAAAGATAAGCAAAGGAGATTTCAAGTGTCCCGGATGGTTTCCTCCCGAAGTTCGAAAACTTCTTCCGAGGATTCTCGATCCAAATCCAAGTACAAGAATCACTTTGTCTAAGTTAATGGAGAACTCTTGGTTTAAAAAGGGCTTCAAGCAAATTGAGACACCAATTTCACCTCAGGGTCAACAAAGACATAAGATAATAAACGATGTTCACGCCACGTTCGAATCTTCAAACCATGATCACCATCTTGCTGCAGATTGTTCAAGAAGTCCTCCTGTTCGGCCAAGCAATTTTAATGCCTTTGACATCATATCATCTCTATCGCACGGATTCGATTTGTCTGGTCTATTTGAAAAAGACAAGACTACCCAGAAACTCGAGTCAAGGTTTACCACGAAAAGTCCTGCATCCGACATTGTTTCCAAATTTAAACAGATTGCAATCACAGAGAGTTTCAGCTTCAAGAAAGACAAGGGAACTGTGAAGATGCAGCATCATAAGGAAGGAAGAAAAGGGCAGCTTGCTATTGATGCAGAAATATTCGAAGTTACTCCATCTTTTTTTGTCGTGGAGGTGAAGAAATCTGCAGGAGATACAATTGAATACCAGCACTTCTATGATACAGAATTGAAGCCCTCTCTCCAAGATATAGTATGGGCTTGGCAAGGCAGTGAGCAGTAGACATACGTGTGTATGTATACAAATTTAGCCAGAAGCTTCATCAGGACTATTTTTCTTGGATAGCAGGTGCTTTCATTTTATACATATTTACATATAGACTAGCTATGTTGTATATCTAGCTACCTATGTTTGTGCTTTACCCAGATGCTACAACTTCATTTCTTCCACGTTTTCAACTTTGATTTTTCATCTTCTTCTTTCTTATTTGTCTTCAACTGCTGAATCTGTAAGTATTTGGTATCAATGGCAAACACAAAACCAATTATCTATTACCCAATTCCATATGGTATTAGTATTCATCACCATAATTACAGATTGGTAGCTTCGACTGGTTCTGCAGATAATCTAGCTTGATCACAAATTAAACCCAAAACTCAGTTCATGAATCCACAGCCAAACATAAGTTATTGAAAATGAAAACAAAGGCCATCAATTTCAAATCCTAACAATTATATGTACTTCAACACATATATAAGTTTAGCACATAAATTACATTAAATGAAATGTACAAGATGCATACTTGTTTAAGTCATTTTGAATCTCTATTCCTCATGGACAGTAACTAAAAATTTATCTTTCTTATCTTGTTATAACAATGACTATAAATAAAATAAGTTACATATTTATCGGAATATAATAAAAGAATTAGTCGTAAAAAATTAAATACTAAAAAAGACACTTTCACTCTCGAATAGAATATTTTCACGATTGAACTTTTATTACTACTATTACGTAGTAGCCTACACTAAATTGTTAACAAACAAGTGGCAATGAGAGTCTAATTTTATCAATACATAATTTTATTTTGAAATAGATGACCCAATTAAGAAAATAAATAAAAAAATTAAATTTGATTTCTATATTTTTAGATTTAGATTCTCACGGAGTAAATTAATCAAAAATATTATAATTAAACCAAAAATTTGTAAGAAAGATTCAAGTCAACATAAACTACCAAAATATTAGTGCTCAAAATTTTCAGCCATTCGATAAAAATAATTGAAATTGGCCTCCACTTGTCTGTCTTTTTCTTCTTTCATTCCAAAGGTTGTTTACCAATCTACTGAATTCATGAAATGCAGAAAGAAAATGACATTTTGGCAAATACACAAACAAACTAAAAAAACCCCAAAAAAAAAAATTAGAAATAAAAAACTAGAGAGCATGACGATCCACTATAAATTTAAATTTTATTAAATATCATAAAATTTATTATTTTATAAATATATCATAAGATAATAATTATCACAATTTTATTATTTTTTGAATATATTACATATTATTGATAAATGATATATCGTACTTGGTCGAATAGAGAAAAATTTAAATTATTAATATATTATTTGAAGATTAAAAATTAATCCAACTTTTTTCCACTAAAAAAAAGGAAATTTTAAGACAAACGTAACGAATCCGATCCGATTCGAGAACATTCCACGAGCTAAATCTAACCTAAAAGAGAGGGAGGCATAAATTTTCCGCTAAAATAAAGAAGAGAAGGGTTTCAAATCAAGCCATTACTCTTCGTTTTCATTTTAAGGTAGTATTCCATTGATAATAAGTGTGAGTTAATATGTAAATCTAGGTTTAGCATATTACCAAATATATGTACACGCATATATTGACGTGTTATAAAAGCCAGTCTTATAATATAAATGTAGATGCCAAAGGCATGAAGCTTTCTTTGGAGAGTTGCTGGCATGTTTAGTGCATACGCGTACAACAGTCAATACCAGAAATGAAAGAAGGAAATTATAAGATAAGCAAAAAATGAGCTGTTGGTTCTCTGTAACTCATTATGCCTTAACTGAAGAATATTTTATATACCACCAAACAAATCCTTAATTATAAACCTAAAATTTAGTTCAACATGAAGCATATTGGTATACATTTCAAAATCTACTCAGTACACAATCAATAACTCAAACCCATCTTCAAAACACTAACTTTGGCTGCAGAAACCATCAACGATATGTATGATTTCGGTTAAATAAAATCGAAAGATTAGCTAGGCCGCCTTGATGAACACTCCCTTTCTGATTAGGTAGGACTTTCTCTGCAATTGTGACAAGAAAATCAAATCAGTGATCTTAAATGTGGGAAAGATACTTCCATAAAGAAGGAAAACGATTACAATAAAGCCAAAACAGGACAATTTTTGCAATGAATTCTAACCAGGAAAAGAGATGGGTGGTCCAGATAAGGAACTTGGATTAAACACACCACGTAAAATGATGATTCAAAGACAACCAACAATAATAGTAATCTTCCAAAAGATAATAAAGTTTTCCACAGAATCTACAATTTATTATTCTTGGCTCTAAACATCTTCTGGACAAGATAGGGCCTACACTCAATAATGTGACAGCAATGACGCAAAAGATTTGACCAACCTGCATATAATCTACCATTTGGAGAATCATCCAAGAATTCTATTTCAAATTTTAGTCATTTGAGTAATGAAAGAAAAAGAAAAGTCAATCCAGCATAGTTGGATTATCAAAAGCATATAAGTTGAAGGTCATGTGTGCCAATTGGGTTAATTTTTCTCTTTTCTTTCAAACAGATAAAATTCTTGGAGTTATCTTCTGGACATTGTACATAGACATATTTAGCTTATTGCAGCAACTCAAATCAATAATTTTACCAATTTCTATCCTGTGGATCTCCGGTCCCCAGTCCTGTGAAGGAAATCCAGCTCTCTCACATCCCCATCCCCCAACCCCAAACGGAAAAGATAACCCTAAGTCCTGTGAAGGAAATCCAGCTCTCTCACATCCCCATCCCCCAACCCCAAACGGGAAAGATAGCCCTAAGATGAAATGAAACAAGAAAACCCGTAATTTCAGAGACTTTGGTGGGCCCACATCCCATGCCATCCTATCTGTAATTTCCATTTATATATAATAAGATACTGATGCTACGAACTTGTGGTTAACGTATGCATGAGCTACCACGTGTTGGAACGTAAGGATCCAACATCAGATTTTTCCAACGTATTGATCATATTGCAGTTAACTTATCCACAATATAGGTCATAATATCATTTTTGTTTCATAAAAGCAGCCCCGACTCCTGGGAATTGGTTGGACCATCCAGATTGATGTCATAACTGCAGAGAGATAACATCCGATTACCAGATATATACAGCATGTTATCCCACAGTCTACATTATGCTATCAACAAATGCAGAAAACACAATATTAGCTCTTATGAGATTTTAACACCCATTTTACATGCATCACATCTTCTCCACATGCTATTCTTGCTGTCTCTCCTTATCAATATTCGTTTCACGAAATCCAGGTCAACCTAACTTCTAAATCTAGTTACAATTACCTAACGCCAACTGAATTGCTGGCTGCAATGCATTTTATAGAAATAAATAAGATCATCAAGTAACTGACAGTGAAAACACGATTTCCACATATCAGAAGTATGAACAGATGAAAAACTTTCAACTTCCAAGGCTCTAAATTACATTTTCACTTCTGCTTAAAAGTGCTAAATACTCTATATTCCACCTCCTGGTTCCCATCTCTATTTCTCTGAACCTCCATTTATTTGTTTGGCGGTTCCACTTCAATCAAAACCTTGTTTCAAAATTATTTAATTTAATCTGATGCCATTTGGAGTTCTCAGATTATTCCTCGCTGGAGTTTTTAGGGAACTCCTCTATGTATAAGCATATAAATTTCCAATGAAGCTGCTCTTCACAACAAAAGGGCATTTCGTTCATTTTATGCAGAGACCCATTACCAAGCACCACATCTATTTAATTACATTTTATCTAACAATATCCTTCAGTTAAGAGATTAGAAAAAAAAAAAAAAGAACAACACTTTGGCAATACCATATCAGAAAAACTTGCCCGGAAGACTGCTAAAATGTAATACCCTCATACTTGCCTGTCCTACTCTCAGATCCCATCACTGACCTTAGGCAAAGAAAAGCTAAAATCCGTAGCAAATAACTTCAAGAAATTTAGCAGCACATGAAGCAAGACATTCAACAAAAATATATGGATAATTACTTCCTTACTCATAGCAGTAAACTACTGAAAAAAGCTAATGCTAAGAATTTTTGTAAGAAACTAGAAAAAATGATATATATTTCCATTCACTACTTTTTCATTTCAGTCCGATGAACAAAACAAAAGTCACCCTCAGACATTGAAGTGCAAAGATTAGTTGGGGTATGACATTCCCTTAAATTTAGTTGATCTTTCTGGATACACAGAACATACAAGACATTATACCAACTAAGGAGCCATCTAAAGGCCAACATAACACTCCAAGGAAGTAAGGAAATTAAAAGAAGAAAACAAAAGTTTATCATACAAAATGGATTGGCAAAAGAAAGAAAAGACGAGAGAAAAGCATACCCTTTCCCTTCTTCCTACCTTTCTATTCAGTATCCGAGGGTAAAGTAGCAGACGAAGCGGCTTCAACACCAACACGAGGAGGTAAAGATAACGACTTCTCCAGCATCAAATTCTCCAACCCAGGTTTTAGTTCCTTGTTACAAAAGTCCTCATATTCTCCTTTGTCTCCTCCTTTCTTCGTCACCTCAACAACAACCAGAGAAGGTGTTAACTCAAATATCTCTGCTGCAATCGTCAACGGGCCTTTCACTCCTTGCCTAGACCCCTCCAAGCTCACTCTACAATCCTTTTTCCTCACTGTAAAACTCACCAACTTCGCTATCTCCTCCAATTTCGATATAATCTTCGAAACAGGGGCACCTGACACAAATCTCGCCCCTTCTCCTCCTTCGTCAAACAACCCAGATAGATCAAACCCCGGCGAGAACGATATGATGTCGAAGGCGTTCAGACTCGCTGGTCTTGGCAAAGAAGCAGTCTTTCTTCTCGTCTCAAACTCAGCCTCAGATTCCGACAACGATGACTGGTCAGAAGATGAACCCACATCTTCCTCCTCATCGTCTTTAACGCTACAAAGCTTATCATCTTCAATATAGAACTTGATATGCTTAAACCCCTTCTTGAACCATCTGTTTTCCATGATCTCAGGAATGGTGATTCGGGTCTCGGGGTTCGTATCGAGCAGGCGAGTAAGAAGCTTAATTAGCTCCGGAGAGAACCACCTCGGACACCTAAACTCGCCCTTGTAAATCTTCTTGTACATAGCCATTATATTCTGGTCATGAAACGGTAAGTACCCGGCCATCAAGACGAACAAAATCACTCCACAAGACCAGATATCCACCTTTGCCGCATCGTACCCTTTCCTCGCCAGTACCTCCGGCGCAACGTAAGCCGGCGTCCCACAAAACGTATGGAACAACCCGTCTTGCCGAATTTGATCAGAAACAGCACTTAGCCCGAAATCAGACACTTTAAGATCACCATTCTCATCGAGCAAAAGATTCTCGGGCTTCAAGTCCCGGTGATAAACGCCTCGAGCGTGACAAAATCCAACAGCAGAGATTAATTGCTGAAAATATTTCCGAGCCACCTCCTCCTTTAACCTTCCTTTAGCAACTTTGTTGAACAATTCTCCGCCGCGAACGTACTCCATAACGAAATAGATCTTGGCCTTGGTGGCCATGACCTCGAAAAGCTGAACGATGTTCGGATGACGAACCCGACGGAGAATTGATATTTCACGCTTGATGTGAGCGATAAGACCACCCTTTAGGATCTTCTCCTTGTCGATAACTTTGATGGCAACCCCATCACCTGTTTTCACATTACGAGCATGGTAGACCTTAGCGAATGTGCCGTGACCCAGCAACTTTCCGATCTCGAACTTGCCGAGCAGAAGCCCTTGGTTGCTATCTTTGATCTTGTTAGTTGCCGGGGTAGTGGTGTTCTTGTTTGTGTTGAAGAAATTATTGAAGTCGGCCATTGGTGACGGTCGTGGGAAATGTTGTGGGAGGTGAAAACTCAGTGATTTGCCATTGATGGTGGAGATTTTGAGGTTTTTGTTTTGTATATTTTGGTCGTTAGGTTGTTTTGAATCGGAGAAATTTGGTACTCGCTTCGATGTATACGAAGAAGCGTATGCCGATATTTATACTCCTTATTTTAAGAATTGCCACGTCAGCTTCAGATTTTGAATACCCTAACTAGCTCTTCGTATATATTTTTCAAAAATATTATTATTGAAAATAATTATATATATATATATATATACTCGTGGTTTAATTTTTATGATGATTAATTTTTAATTGGATAAGCACGTTGGGAACTATATTTTCATAATTTTAATGTAATTTAATTGTTATAAGCTAAAAAATCTTACCAAATACGCCAGCATATAAATATTAATATTTATAGTTTACTAATCTTAATCTAACTCGGTTTGTAAGTTAAAACTTACTTAAGACGCTATTAATATGAGTATTACAGAAGGGTTACCATAATCCTCTTTGCCTATATTTACCTTTTCTATTTTATTTTATTTTGTTTTTCTGAAATATTCACTAGAATGATAAATTATATATATATATATATTACAATTTATATATTGGATTGTTGAGTTATTTATGTGGTGCTTATTTTAAATTACAAAGAAAAAAAATACGGGTTTTGACAAGGAACAGCAGACTCAAAAATATGTGTATTGGGAAAATTGATATGTATGTATGTATAATTATTTATTGGAGAAAATTGTGTTATAATTAGATAATAATTTTTATTTTATAATTAAAAATTTTAATTTAAATTATTTATTTTTAATCAAAATATTTTTAAATTTTTACTTTTTGTTACTCATACTTTTAAATGCTATAAGACTAGTCTCTCTCTAGTGATATCTTATTATAACTAATTTTCAATTGTATGATTTCTTTATTAAATGTTTGATATACCTTCCTAATTGATCAAATCTAAGATAAGTACTGAAACCTTAAATCACGACATACGTTGCTGTCCATTTGATGGGATAATTATTGTTTTAATATACTTTATAATATATACATCAATTTACAAATAAAAATAATACTTTTCAAATAATAAATATAATTTAATTGTAGACTACTCAGTAAATTACTAATTAAAAATTCGAATTTCATTAATTATTTTAGAATATCTATAAACCCAGCTCAATAACAAATATATAACGACTGTTTCTCGCCGTGCTTAACGGTCATTACTGTGAGTGCCGTGCAGTCACTTGCGCGTGACTCATGAGTCATAACAGCTCCGACTTCAACACACTCCGGAAGCGCGTGAATCGCGGTACCGTCTAACCGGCTTTTTGGAAAAAATAAATAAATAGTTTTAAAATGGAGGACTGGAAACGAGACACGTCACTGCAGTTGGCGACCGAACCGTTCAACCATTTTGCTATGACACGTGTAACTTACGTGTAATCGTGCACCACACGCATGCAACCTCGTTGAAATCTCGAATCCTGTGGAAACAAATCTATTAATTTCCCGAAATCGTTGATTTATCACCGTCGATGCTATCGCGTATCTTTTCATTGATTGATCGTACGATCGATAGTGATGCGAACCGTGGTACGTTCAGGAAAATGAATGAGGACGAGTTAAAGCTACGTGGTCGTGGAATTGGTGTCAGAAGGTCAACTTGATGGTCGGTGGTGATTAAAAGACGCAACAATTTAGTTAATTTTTAAAAATATAAAATTGTAATTTATTAAAATAAAATATGAGAAAAGGGAAAATAATTTGGCCTTTTAGCACTACACACGGGATGTAGGAATTAGAAGGTTCGGATTGATTACTTTATAAAGAATAATATCGAAATGCATTATTATATTTTTTATATTTGTATCATTTACAATTTTTTATTATATTAATTTGTACCTAAAGTCATTATTATTAGAGAAAATAAATAATATAACAGGTACATATTGATTATTTTACCCAAAAAAAATATTAAATTGAGTCAGATTAGTTTGTAATTAAATTTGGATTGGAATTATAAAAAAAAAAAGAAGAAAATTAGTTCAAAACTAACCCAATTATATATGATAAATTTTTAAATACTCATTAAATATACACAATATGCATTTTAATTAATTGCACATGTAAATAATATATTTAATAAAATTTTATATAGAGTGAAATTAGATTTAATAAACTTAATTAATATCTAAAGGGCTATTGATTTGTATACATTTAAAACTAGGTGAGATTCAAGTATTATTAAATCAACTACTACGGTAATATTAAGATCCAAAGTGCTATTACAATATATTAAATTGCTCATTTTATGTTAATAATTGTTGTTAAAATTAAGAAAACTATAGTTTCTTACAAATTAAGTAAAAAATATTATTAAATAAAAACAATAAATTAATTATTCTTAACTCTCTCACATTTTCTCTCTTGTTGGTTTAATAACATTTTTTATTTACATAATTTTCCATTATTAGAAAAAAAATTATTCATAATTTATATCATCATTAATATAGTTTTATTATTGTCATTATAATCATGTTGCCATAGAAAAAAGAAAAGAAAAGAAAAGAAAAGAAAATGCAAAAAAAAAACAAAACAAAACCAATAACAGAGCCCTTTTTTTATTCTGTCGGCCCAGCCCAATTCGATTTAAAACCCAATTCAAAATAGAAGACAAAATTCAAGTCCAATTCCAACGACCAAAACTATGCTTGAGTCCAAAATGATAAATTGCCTCAATAGTTACTTATATGCACATACATCTATTAAATTGACTGTGAAAAAACTTAATGATGTAGTTTAATTGGGTGGAAATTATATCTTACTATATAGATGTAATATTACATAACTATCTTATAGTTATTTCATATTAAATGTTACTTTATTAAGTTACTAAATTATTATAAAATAATTTAGAAACCACTAAAAATATGGTGAGATGAGACTAATTTTAATATTGTCAATAATGAAATATCTAAGTCTAACCTCAAAGAGGTAATTAATTGAACAAATAAACACGAATTATTCACCAATAACTATTATAAAGAGATTCTTGACCAATAATTAATTTTATTTTTATTCAATTTTTAAATCACACATTTTTAATACGTATAAGAATATAATCCTTGACGTATTTGATACACGATAAAGTTTATTTATTTTTATCATATTCACCTTTTGTATTCTTATACATTAATGAAAAATCCTAAAAATATTAACTTTGAATTATAATATTATGTTTATTCAAATTATATTTGTATTACTATTCCATGAAATTAGAATATAAACCTCCTTAACAGTTGAGTTTATTGAGTTAGATTAGGAGCTTTTGTTGACTTGCTTCCTTGTTTATTACTTAACTACAATTCCGTTTTAACTTAACGCCGGTTACTCTTAATTGAAATTCCCACTTAATCCCACAAAACACCTAAACCCAACCCCCCCCTCTGCGTCTCCCACAGTACCCTTAAAACCCGTTCTCTTCCTTCCCAACTTCAAACCAAATAATTAAGGTCCAAGGGAAATGTTTTACAGGTTCTTCCTCATTCTATCTCTGGTTTCACTCGCAAATTCAACATGCAACACTACGGACAAAGAATTTGTTTCCAGAACTTTCAGTTCAGTCTCTGGCTTCAACATTTCCTGGTTCAACCATGGAGATTCCAACTGTTCCAATCCTCCAATCGGTGAAATAAAGCTTCCGTCAAGGAATCTCACCGGAACCATCTCCTGGCAATCTCTCCTGAAAATTGCCCATCTGCGTTTACTCGACCTCTCAAATAATTCTCTGCAAGGCTCTGTTCCTGGCTGGTTTTGGTCTCGCACCAACTTGGTTCACGTCAATCTATCCAATAATAAATTTGGTGGAACCATTGGCTTCAAACCCACCTCAGGAAACTGGTCGACTTCGCCCATTCAGACGCTAAACCTCTCCACCAATCGATTCACCAACGCGGTCAGGCTCTCTGGTTTTCCAAGCCTTCGGGTCCTTGACCTCTCGCATAACGCTTTAGGTTCGTTGCCTTCTGGGTTAACCAATCTCACCAAGCTAGAGCATCTTGATATATCAGCCTGCGAGATTTGGGGCAGTATAAAAACCATTTCAGTTATCCGCTCCTTGAAATTTCTAGATGTCTCAGTCAACTCCTTAAATGGTACTTTCCCTTCTGATTTTCCTCCTCTTGCTAATCTTTCCTTCTTGAACGTGTCGGTAAACAACTTCAAAGGTTTTGTAGGATTTGATAAGTACAAAAGATTTGGCAAATCTGCTTTCATCCATGCTGGAAAGTTCATTTTCAATTCCTCGAAAACCACCCCAATCAGCGTGAACAATAACCAAATTATCTCCCACCCACTTCATAACAAACCCATCAAAAAGAAATCAAACACCAAAAGCAAGTTTCTAGTAATCGGGTTGTCATCTTCATTAGGATCTCTTCTTTTAATTTCCATTGTCTTCTGTGTGTTCTGCACGCATGCAAGAAAGAGAAATAGCAGAAAGAAGAAATGGGTAATATCCAAACCGGTCCAGTTTCAGTTCAAGATGGATAAATCCGGGCCATTTTCTTTCGAGACAGAATCGGGTACTTCTTGGGTTGCAGATATTAAAGAGCCAACATCAGCACCGGTGTTGATGTCCTGTAAACCATTGATGAAACTCACGTTCAAGGACCTGATTGTGGCTACTTCATACTTCGGTAGGGATTCACTGTTCGCCGAGGGAAGGTGTGGGCCAGTCTACAGAGCAGTCCTCCCCGGAGACCTCCACGTGGCAATCAAAGTGTTGGAGAGCGCCAGAGACGTTGCTCATAATGATGCAGTTGCTTATTTTGAACTTCTCTCCCGGCTTAAACATCCCAATCTCTTGCCTCTCTCCGGTTACTGCATTGCAGGTACTGTACCCAATTTTATGATTTTGACAGAAGGGTATTAAATGGATTCACAGGTTTTGAAATTCAATGCTTCTGGTTTGACTATTTTGGATTTTTCACGGATTACATTTGATGGGTTTTCTAGATCCAGTCATAAATTTCAATGGGAAATTTTGAAAATTTTATTTTTCTTAAAAAATTCGAAACTTTTTAGGGAAGGAGAAATTGGTGTTAAACGAGTTCATGGCCAATGGAGATTTGCACTCATGGCTACACGAGCTGCCCGCGGGAGAACCCAACGTGGAGGACTGGAGCTGTGACACGTGGGAGAATCCTAACGGCGTTTTATCCCCAGAGAAGACCGATTGGATCACTCGCCACCGCATTGCCGTAGGCGTCGCGCGTGGTCTTGCTTATCTCCATCACGTGGGGTCCACTCACGGTCACCTGGTCGCCTCCAACGTCCTACTCTCCGATCACCTCGAGCCAAGAATTGCGGATTTCGGGATCCGCGGAATCAAAGAACGAGGCGGGGACGCTGAAGGGGGAGTGGAGTTTGACGTGTATTGCTACGGCGTCGTTTTATTGGAGCTGTTAAGTGGGAAACAAGGGACGGAGGAGAAAGTGAAGTGGGCACGGAGGTTAGTAAAGGAAGGATTGGGGGTCGAGGTGCTGGACTCGAGACTAAAACTCGGGGGCGACTCAGTGGGTGAGATGGTGGAGAGTCTCCGAGTTGGGTATCTGTGTACGATTGAGTCGCCTCGGAAAAGACCCACGATGCAACAGGTCGTGGGTTTGCTAAAAGACATACATCCCATGACGGAGTTGAACTGAGTTGACTGGTCATGTCAACCACTCTCACCTGCCCAATTTCAGCAATTCTGATTCCACGTGATGGGTTTTTAACTTGATATTTTATTTGATGTAAATAAAGACAAAAAGAAAGTGGGGTTAGAATCGGATGATGAGAATGAGTTGTTTTTATGTTTGGTTTTGTGAGGAAGGTAAGAGCAATGCCCACTTATTATTATGCTGGTCTCTAATGGGAGACTCACCATCATTCCCCTTTCATACTCTTTATTTCTTTTCTATTGTTTATTTTCTATTTTTTCATCTTTTCTACCTTGTCTCTTTGTGTTTTTTCTTTTACTTTTTTGTTTTTTTTTTTAAAAAAAGAAGAAAATTCGTTGCTTTTTTTACTTTGAATATTTCTTTTTTTTTTTTTCTTTTGTAGTGTGTGATGGATAAAAATTCTACCATGATTAAAGAAAAGTAAAAGCACCATGTAAAACAAATTTGAAAAGGGTATGGAATTTATTTCCAAGTTCATATTTTAGTTTAGCTAGAAGAAAATATAAATCGAATTAACATTACAGAAAGATTGGTCTTTTAAGTCCAAATTTACCGTTAATGGTTTCACAAAGGGTGTATTAAAGTCGTTTGAGAAGATTTTTGTGTAATTAAGTCTTGAACTTTATAATCTGTTAACTAAGTTTTCATTATTTGTCTATTCTTTTTCTTATCATTATAAAAGAATATGTTCAACCACAAAAATAATAAGAGTCATCCAACAACCAAAAAATAAAAAACAAATGAGGTTCGTGAATACATAATTGTCCGTTCAAATTTGTAAAATCTCAATTTATAAAAACACGAAACCACCTTAAAACATAACTAAAATGTTAACTATTTAAGGTGAATAAAAAAACAATAATGAGATGAAGAAGTTATAGTATTGATAAACTTTTTGCGAATCTTCTTCAAATAACATAGTTGAAATTATCCATGACAACTATCTGTTAGAAACTGAAGATCAAAACATGGACTTTCACCGTCTCAATAATTTATGGAGTTAAACATTCTATGCATCATCACAAATGCTACTTCACCCCTATGATAATGGCAAACAACATCCTGCCTTAATTTAACTGTACATAACAATAAATGCATCACAATTTATCATAAATATTTATAGGTTATACAGGAGGAAGTAGACTTTAAAATGCAACAAAAGGTAAAACTGGGAGCAAAATGAAATTCCATTTAGAATACAAAAAACGCATTATAAAATATTTATACATTTAAAAATTAAACACAAATTCTTATAATTTAAGATTAAAAACGTATTACTACTTTTTATATTAAAGTTTTATTAGTTAAAATAAGTATCAATTCACAATGAATTCAACATAAATTTTAATTTTGTTAGTAACATAGCAATCAGTAATTTCGGTGTTGACATTTTTTTTTTGGGTCAAACTTGTTGATTTTTAGTCAATGAGTCAATGCTCTCTCTCTTTCATGCAAATCTGTTAACACAATGGACGGTGTTATTTATTCCGTCACAGTTAAGTTAGGATATGTAAGGACAAAAAATTCCAAAAACTTGACTCTAAATATTTATATATCAAATATATATATGTGTGTGTGTATATATATATACGTGGCCTAGTCAGTCATCCGCAACTTTTGACATGCACGTTCCATTCTCATTTAATCACTTTTAACATAAATTTTAAGATAGTAATAATAAATGTCATATATATATATATATATATGGCAAAATGTTAAAGTAATTAAAGAAAAGCAAGTCGTTGGATGAGATTTCTCTCATAAAAGTAGCACCATTAATATTTAATACGATTCTACGTTCATACGTAAATTTTGATGGGCTTGAATTTAAATAAGTTTAGATCTTTAGTATATACTTATTTAACTGGTTATATAGATTAATCACAATAATATATTTAACAAAGTATATATATATATAGTAGAATATAGATTTCATATGCACTTTAATTGTAAATTTAATGTATATTTTAAACCAAGTATTTAAATTTTTGTTTAATTAACTCATTTGATAATCTATAATAAACAAAATAGACACGTCTAATTATGTTTTTTTATTTATAAATAATTTATATATATACATACATATAATTTAAAAATTATTATTTTGTTTACTAATCAAATTATATATGAATTCTAGATAACAGATATTATATTATGATAATGTTCATTTAAACTTAACACACAACATTGATGAGAGATAGCACATAAGAAAATACATTTTATCTCAAACTCTTACTATTGTTATTTCGTTGCAAAATGCAATCAAGTAATATAAATTATAAAATCCATAAAAATAAAAACACTTTAATTTAATGTTGTAAATATCATTATATCATGAGGTTTTTAGTAAATAATTTTATTTTAATTAAAGTAAAAAGTTTTATTATGTGGGAAAAGATGTGGTGACAGTTACTTATATCTTACAAGAAGATAATGATTCTACAATAATATTTTAAAAGTTTGTTTTGATTATAATAAAAGCTGGGGAAAGAGATGTTATTTTCGATTATTGATGTTATATATACATGATGTTTTATTGTAAAAACTTTTAATACATGTTTAAGCATATCCAAATCACTTGTATATTAGCATTCATTGATATCGATTTTGAGTTAAAGATTAACTAAATAAATTAAGTTGAGTTAGAGATTGAAATTACTACAGAAATACTTGACTTTGCCTTAATCCATGTATACATTAGGCTAGATTCTGTCAGTACTAGACTTAGGTTAAAGTTAAATAGAACTCACGAGTACTAACCTATGAGTTTTATTTTAGGGAGACACTTTGAGTTCCGATTAATAAGGTGTAGTCGATGTTAATATATTTATTTTTAACTATTATAAATAACAAAACATGTTTTATTACTAACAATAATCGAGTGTTAAATGAAAAAACTTTAATAGTAAAATTAAAGTATTGAGTATCGAGATTGAAGAATCCATAATTGGAAGCATGAGATCAAAGAATTTAAGATACGAGTATCAAAAATAAAAAAGTCAATCTTTGACACAAAAGGTTTATGAAAATATAAAAGCTATATATACATTTTTTGTAAATATTATTCAAACATTTGAAGATTATTTATTCTACGTTGCATGACTTAAAATTATTCATAACTCAATTTGATTTAACTACTATATATTTAAAATGATCAATGTATATATTTATATTTATAAGCTTAATATTTATTTATTACTGTATAATTAAAGTTGAATTAATAATACTTATTGACTTTAATCAACTGAATGATTAATACGTTTATTACTCTACAAAATTATTGATCAGGATTAAACTGTACTTCTTTGAAATTTATATTCTATTATAATATGATTGATATTTATCTATTACTAATTGATTAATATATAACTTCTTATTGAAAAATGCAACACTCTAATTTTTTAAAAGACTAGTGGACTCTTTTCTCTTATTTACTTATCATCATCATCTATTGATTTTCTTAATAATAATAAAGTTTGTAACTTAATTAATTTTTTTTATCTTCACTTTAAAATGTTAGCATTTAAAAATTTATGACTTACCACAACAGTCAGATTTAATATAAAATTGTCAAAAAAGTAATAATCAAAATAAAATAATAACAATTTTGTTAAGAAACAAAACTAAATAAAAGAAAAAAAATAAAACAAAACCTTCAGCCCATATTGAAATGTCAAGCAAAGCCCATTACCTATTAAATGAAAGTGTTGGTATTCCCAGTTGCAGTTTGCAGGCTCCACGGAGAGATCCCAAAGACGATCCATTTATTTCCCCCTCCCATTTCTAGTTCATCTTTTTTAATCATGCAGTTCAGTCTTCATCTTCTTTGTTTGTGATTGTAATTGAAATCCAAAGCGTGTTTACAACATAGAGACGACAGTACCTACCCGAATCGAAAACCCTAGCTTCCTTCCCGCTTCGTTTTGCAGTTTAATTAAGCAAAACAGGCAGATTCCGATTTTGAACCTTGAGCCGTAGCCCTAGTTTTTGCTCATGGCGTCGAGAAAGAAACAAGCAGAAGGTATTGCCTTGCTCTCCATGTATAATGACGAAGATGACGAGGAGATGGAAGACATCGAGGAAGAAGAAAAAGATGATGAGTACAGAGAAGTAAGTAACGTGGAGGAAGGAGGAGAAGACGATTCGAGAAACAAAGTTGGGGTTTCTTCTGACTTTGGACTTGAAAACACGCCACAAGGTCTCAGTCAGAATTCCACGCCAGCAGAGGGTAAGTTTAGTCACTTAACGCCGCAACAGGTGCAGGTTTTATTTTCATCGTCGCCACAGCAACAGCAGCGAGTAGCTTTGGCGGATACGAGGAGAAGTGGGAAAGAGAGGCTAACCATTGTGGACTACGGCCATGATGAGGTCGCTATGTCCCCTGAGCCTGAGGTACTTTTAGATTTCTTTTGTTTTGTTTTTTTTTTTAAAGTTCTTTTATCAAGTTCGGAATTTTGG